GTCTTATTTCATTACTGTATTGCTGCAAGTGAGTTGAATCCAGAAGTTTGTGTTACCTTTTAATTGTGGGGCCAGGTGAACACATGCCCAACAGCTAAATACCTGGGGAAATGACTCCCCATCAGAGCAAGCCTTGCCTACTCACCGCCATCCAACACTAGTACGAACCAGAAGTGACATGAACCGGAAGTGCAACAAACCGGAAGTAGCACAAAGTTTCATCTGAAATCACTCGCAATGATGAATGACAACTACAAGCCTTGGGAGTTAACATATATGGAAACATTTTTATATTCATTATATCTTCTGTATCTTAGCAGGTTGCAAGAACAATTTGTTATGCACTTAAAATACTTTATGTATGTGGACACCATGCCAATCTTTGTCCCAGGTGTGGTTGTTCCAACAAATTTACTCAAGGTCAGAATGTGCAGTGCTCCAAAAAAAAGTAATTATTTTCATCATTTATAACTTTTCCTCTTTTTTAGGGGTAATTGTATATAGAAAGCGCTCCACTGAGTTTACTTTTAAGTGGATTGCTTCCACTTAGTTCACTCTGGTCTGATGTGTAACTCTTTTTTGCAATTTATCTGAGCATTGCATGTTCTGACCTTGGGTGGATTTGCTGGGATGTCCACTCCTGGGGAAAAGATTGTCAACTGTCTTGAATGTTTTCCACTTTTGAATAATCTTTTTCAATGCAGAATGATGGACTTTTAAATTGTTTGTAAATGGCTTTATAACCCTGTGCAGTTTGATGGGCAGCAATTACTTTTCGAACATCATTGTTGATGTATTTCCTCCTTGGCATTGTCTTAACACACACCTGAGTGCTCCACACCAGCAAACTGCTAAAACTTTGGCTTTTATAGAGGTGGTCAAACGGATGATCAATTGATCAAGGGCATTTGATTAGCAGCACCTATCTGCTACTTTGCCTGTTATTTCCTATGGAAACAGTAAAGGTATACTTAGTTTTTCACACATGGCTTCTCCATTGTGTCTTTATTTTTGTTAAATAAATCATGACACAGTGTAATATTTCATGTGTTGTTATTCATCTGAGGATGTATTTACCCAATTGTAAGACCTGCTAAGAAACAGATTATTTTTAATATATCCTGATATATGAAACCATAGAATTCAAAGAGGGTATACGTTATTTTCCCCATAACTGTAAGATAGATAGATAGATAGATAGATAGATGATTAAATTTTTACCATTAAACATTGATATAAAAATGGACAATGTAACAACTTCTGTTTCATATCAGAGTACTTTTTTAATACAGCAACTGCAATAGATATTACTACTTTTTATGTAAAATTACATTTTTAAACATTTAGAGTAAGGTAATTGCAATCTGACATCTTAAATGCCTTATGAAAATACATTGAATAAATTAATTCTATATATCCAATGAATCACATCTCATCTTTCTAAAAACTCCCTGAGCCTACTCTTAAAAAAAATCTCTTTTAAACCGAATGTATTCATATCATAGCAAACTTCATGAGCAATCTCAAACTGCGACAAGGTTGTCTGCAAAATAAATGGATTTAAGATCAAGCATTTTCTTAACTAAAATTTAAAAACGTAATACTCTAAATATCAAGTTACATAAGATATGATTCAAATGTTTACACGGGATTTGAAAAAACTAAAAGCAAAAACAGGCAAACCCTTCACTTTTATAGCATTTTCTATTGTGAATGCACAGCTCAATATCAAATAGTAAATGTGACAGTTCCCTATTAATAGTATGTGACTGAATTCCTGATAGTACCTAATATTATCTTAAATAAATATCTGGAGGAAAACTCGATCTTGCAAATGCATGGAACACTCTTCCTTGCAACACTGGAGTAATTGTTTTAACTAAAAATACTACTTACTCAATTATATGGCCAATAACATATGATAAACTAAATACATATCTCAAAAATTATACTAAAACCATGATCTATACTGGACAGGAACTAAGTACCTAGAGTACATCAAAACAAACATTTAATGAACATGTATATAAAGAGGAAGAATTTGAAAAAACACACTTTACCGATAAAGAGATACTCGAAGACTGCTTTATTCTGCACTAGCAAGCAACAGTAAACATTCCTGTAGATTTATTTTCTCAACAAAAATGTTTTGGACCATTTATTAGCTGCAGTTTTACTAGTCTTCAATGTGCCTCATTGGAAGTCTAAAGTCATTCTGCAAGTTCTCTTTTTATTAGTATCTTTGAAGAGTTTTTAAGTAGCAAGAAACTGTCTCACTAGAGCAACAATATCTGCTTTATATTTTGAGCAATATCACTTTTTTAATGTATATGACATTTTTGTTAAATTAAAAATAAACAAAAAACATTTTATATCACTTAATCTTAATCTTGAAAATAATTAGAATAATACCAGCAGTTTTGCTGGTAAGTTTGCTTTTATGATGTATTAATAAAATGCAATTACCTAAGCAATGCAAATAAATCATCTTTTTTGCACGACAGGTAGGCTACAAATATTATTTACATAGATAAAGGCAATCTAAAAATATAAGGAAGTATATTCAGTATGTATACAATTCTGCCTTTGGGATCTTATACCATTCAATTGTGCATGTATTTTCCTTGAATCAGTTTAAAAGGCAAAATAAACCATATTTAAAGCCTTGGGAATAGACAACTTGGTTAGAACCTACGCATAATTGGTCTCTATGGTTCTTTAGAAATGGTAAGAGGTGACCAGGTTTACCAGACAACAATCAATCATCTTGTATATAGTATCTAATGCATGAAGAATAATTGACTTAAAGGATAATTTCTAAAACTAATATTGATTAAACCAGCAAATACATACATAACATGACATACATTGGAGAACAAGGGAGTAATAGTACAACTGATAAGACTTCAATGTAACATTGGGATTTTTTTTAAATGAAACATGCTTAATGTAAAACGTCATTAGAGATAACAGTTTGCCTTAGCACATAGATGATTAAAGAAGAAAAACTGGATTACATTTTTAATTGAAAAATGAGTATTTTAATGCATAAATTTCCAATCTAGGCATATACTTTACCGAACATACTAGCTAATAAATATTTGTAATTGTGACAAACTCCCCTTTTCAAGTGAGTTTGCCACTAGTTCTTGGAAGGGCTACTTGCCAGCCTTTTACCCTGTAACTATGGCCCCTGCAATAGAACTGGTTAATATATATTAAACAGGCTCGTGCAATTGGGACTAAATAGTTTGTTTACCGAACATCCACACGAACAGAGACCACCCTGGAGCTTGTTAACACCTATTAACAACTTGGAACGTTTCTCACTGCAGTATTCTAATTGTTCGTCTGGGTGGCCGCGATTTCTATGAACAACCACGAGGTGGCAGCCATCTTGTTTGCATGAATGCAGGCAACAGTGTTTGGGCATGAATCTCATGGAACTGAAATTGGATACAGAAACTCCCGAACACCGCTGAACTTCCATCATCGCCTGCATTTGTTTCTATTTAGCTTATAAGGGCACTGTTCGGTGAGATCATTCATCTGGATGAAGGGAACAAGCTTCAGAGTAAGACTATTGACTCCGTTCGGTAGTTTGTTCGTTTGTTTGTTCGTTTACAAACTACCGAATTAGACCGGCCGCAAGCCCTGATTCTCTGGAACTGTTTTGGGCATGAAATCATGCGTGCGGTCGGTTTTCTGAACCCCTGCTCTGATCTGGGTGATATTTGGATATGTTGTTCACCCAGATCAGAGCCAAATATTTATGAGGATATGCAGGGGCATATCCTCATAAATAAATGCTTTAGCATTTGGCAGGCGGGGCGCACCCTGCGTGTGGCACCCCCCCCCACCCCATAAAATACAAATTTAAGAAAACACCCACAATTTTTTCAATGTTTTCAATAATATTTATTGCACAAATTTGTAAACTGTATATCAACTTGAAAAAAATGGAACTATGAAAAATAAATTAACTTAGAAACAAATTAAATTTAAATAATTAACATTTACTTAACAGCTAATACGCTTTCTATAAACAAAAAAAACATACAGCTCCAAAGTGACCACTCAGTCTATTTGGCAGAGATAATTTGCAATGATTCACATCCGCTGCCTTCGAGCCTTCATTTCTGCAAATATATCGATTACTTCATCAAAGCCAATCGTCCTTGCATATTCATGCACAATTGAAAGTATAGCCAGATTTGTCAACCTTGTCTCACTCATGGTTGAGCAAAAGAAATTTTTTATCAATTTTAATTTGGAAAAACTTCTTTCACATGAAGCAATAGATACACAGAGAGTCAAAAAGAATCTTAAACCCAGTGACAAATTCACAATAATCCCATTTAACTATGAACTCCAGGAACTGCAATGCCGTCCATTCCTTTGCTTCTTCAACAATGATCTTGGCAGCTTCCAAATGCCTCCGAACATGTTCAATTTCCCTAAAGATGTCTTCATTAGAGAATTCGTCAAAAATCTCAGTCAATTTTGGAGTATAATTACGAATATCTTTCTCTGTTGCCACAACCAGAGAATTTGGCTGAATAATAGCAAACATTGAAAGGATTTTTTCAATTGGCTGGGAACGAATTTCCAACTCATGATGAAAATGATCAAGGCACTCAAACATAGCCCTTTTCATTTCCTCTGGCAATGTGAGACAGCGACCTTTGCCTTCTCTTCTGGCATTGTTTTAAGGAGCTTTACTCTCCCTCTTTTTTCCATCGAAATGTCCATTTCTTTACAGTTGCATAACAAATGGCCTTCTCCACAATTTCACTGCGCTGATCTGCTAGAAACGCTTTCAAACCTTGTAGTTTCACAATGCACTTTTCAAGAGTGAGTCCCGCTGTTTGCAAATATTTCTGTGTGATATTAACTTCTTCTAGAACTTCACATCAGAAAAAAAGGTAACGCAAAAAAGAAAAATCACATACGGCAGACAGCAACATCTGAGCCGATCCTCTTGTGTCCACATTTTGTGTTCACAATTTTTCAAGGGCTGAAGTCAGTTTTTCAAAATTTGCCCTCACTGGCTTCACAGCATCATAATGAGCGCTCCATCCTGTTTGGGAAAGTCTTTTCACTGTCACACCTAAATTTTCCATCAGCAATTCCCAACGATGTATAGAAACCGAAAAAAAGGAATACACTCTCTCCAATGTTCCAAAAAAGGTCACAAAGGTAGCAACACTTCCAAATGAGTGCACCCCACATAGGTTCAGGGAATGGTTTGCACATGGCATAAACAAAGCCTTGGGATTAATCTCTTTTATTTTTGCCTGAACACCACCATGAATCCATGCCATAGTTGCAGCATTATCATATCCTTGACCACGGCAAAGGCTTATGTCTAGTCCATCTTCCTCCAGATGTTGCAGGATATTTTTTGTGAGCTCCGCAGCAGTCTTTTCAGCAACAGGAAAGATGCCCAAGAATGATTCCTTTACTTCAACATGGTCCCCTTCAATATTAACATATCTGATCACTTCACACATCTGATTAGTGTGGGACACATCAGGGGTGCTGTCAAAAAGAATCCCAAAGTACTTTGCTTTCTTGATATCAGCCACTATTTTGTCCTTCACATGATTTCCCAAAAGACAAATTAATTTGTTCTGAATTTTTGGAGAGAAATAGGAGGTCATTCTCTTTCCAGATGCAACAGCATGTTTCAGCCTCATGAAATGTTCCTTTAAAATGGGATCATAGTTTGAGAGCAATTCTACCAATTCGAGGAAGTTGCCTTTGTTTGCAGATGACATGGTCACTCTATGACCACGAAAGGGAAGATTCTGGTTACACCCAAAAGGCGATGCAAAATATCCCTCCATTTCCTTTTCTCTCTGCCCACTGTTGTTTGATGGACATGATCAAGGCATTTTTGTAGCTTCATTCCTGCTCTCAAGGACTTCCATTTCTCCAAGCATGTAAGATGCTGCTCAGAAGCCTCATGATCAGACACCTTTGGGTTCAGCTTCCACCACAATTGAAACCCAGTAACAAAACTGGATGCCCCTGTTACTTTGTCATCAACAGCAAAAAGTCTGCAGCAAAAACAAAACTTTGTTTTGATGGAGAGTACACCATCCACGTTCTAAGAATTTTTTCGCCATTAGGCAGAGCCTTATAGAACCATGCAGTGGTCAGCTGTCGACTCTTCCCTTTTGATTTTTCTTCTTGCCTTTCAACAGGACTGAATGGCCCATCTCTATTTTGGAAAGGTTCACCCCCCCTCTTAATAAGGTCCACTCTTAAAACATCTGGAACTGGAACTGGCCAAGCAGCAGCAGCGGTTACCCCCCGTTTCCTAAAGTGTACCTGTTATTTGGCTCTACTTCTATTCTCTTTTGTTTTGGCCAAGCAGCAACATCAGAATAAACTGACAGTCGAACAGTCTCCTCTTCTTCTTCTTCATCATCATCATCAGAGTCTTGCTGATGCAGGCTTCATCTACATCACTTTCACCGCTTTCAGATAAAATGATCTTCTCCAATTCTTGCGCTTTCACATATGAAGCTTCTTGAGAAGATACTTCAGGCATTTCACCTCTGGTTTCAACAGACTGAACGTCTTCAGCACTTTCTCCTACTGCGGTAGATGTTGAAGGTGCAACATATTTTAAAATTGATCCAGACATCGCCTCAGCTGACTTTTCTCTTGCCTTCTTAATTTTTCGTTGCTGAGACCCGCTTGGTCGATTTTGCTTCATATTGGTGTTTTCTGCAGAAAAATCCCAAATTTATTTTGGCTTTAGGGTTCGCTAGTGCGATATCTGTCTTATATTTCCTATCTTGGCATACCATTTGTAAACGTAGACAGCCCAGGGTATTGAAAGGAACACTATAGTCACCCAGACCACTTCAGCTCAATGAAGTGGTCTGGGTGCCAGGTCCCCCAGATTTTAACCCTACAGATGCAAAAATCACATCCAGCTTGCAGAATTTCCATAGGAAAGCATTGAGAAATGCTTTCCTATGGACTGTTTGAATGTGTGCATGGCTCTTGCCTCGCATGTGCATTTTGCTCCACTCGGGAGCTGACGTCGGTGGGGGAGGAGAGGTCACCAGCGCTGGATTAAGGTAAGTGGCTGAAGGGGTTTTAACCCTTTAAAACTCATTCAGCCACTTACCTTTCTCCAGCGTCGGGCTCCCTCGGCGCTGGTGACCTCTCCTCCCCCTGCCGACATCAGATCCGAATGCGCATGCGCGGCAAGAGCCGCGTGCGCATTCAAACTGCCCATAGGAAAGCATTACTAAATGCTTTCCTATGGATGTCCAGCGTCTTCTCACAGTGAGTTTTACAGTGAGAATTGTGGAAGCGCCTCTAGCTGCTGTCAGTGAGACAGCCACTAGAGGCTTGATTAACCCTAAGTGAAACATATGTTTTCAGCTGCAGGGTTAAAACTAGAGGGACCTGGCACCCAAACCCATTCTTTGAGCTGATCCTTTAAGGGGTTAAACACATTGGAAGAGAAACAGCATAGGAAAGGGATTTAGGTTAAAAAGATGTAGCAACTAGGGCAGAGGTTTTGTAGAAGAGGGCCAGGGCAGAGTTTCGGTATAAATGCTCCAGTTTTGTAGAAGGGGGAAGACCAGTGCTTTTGTAGAAAGGGGCTGGTGAGAAACTTCTAGAAAACTCCTGCCCTGCCCCTTTCTACAAAGCCCCTTGTCTCGCCCCTTCTAGAAAACCCTTGCCCTTCGCCCTTCATATAAAAACCCTGCACACTGATCACATAAATTTCATATACTTCCTACACATAAAAACCCTGCACCCCAATCACATAAATTTCATACACTCGCTACACATAAAAACTCTGCACACCCCCTTAATTAAAAAAAACAAAAACACTGCACACCCCCCTTAATAAAAACAGAAACCTGCACAACCCCCTTAATTAAAAAAACACCCCCTTTAATAAAAAAACCTGCACAACCTCCTTAATAAAAAACCTGCACACTACCTTTAATAAAAAACCATGCACAAACCTCTTAATAAAAAAAACCTGCACACCCCCTTAATAAAAAACAAAAACTTGCACAACCCCCTTTAATGACAAAAAAACTGCACACCCCCTTAATAAAAATCCTGCACACCCCCTTAATAAAAAACAAAAATCTGCAGTGCACATCCTCCCTTAATAAATAAAATACTGCAACCACCTTAATTAAAAAATAACCTGCACCACCCCATTAATTAAACCTACCCGCCTTAAATAAACCTCCCCCACTTAATTAATCCACACCCCCTTAATTAATCCACCCCTTTAATTAATCCACCCCCCTTTAATTAATCCACACCCCTTTAATTAATCCAGCCCCTTAATTAATCCACAACCCCCTTAATTAATCCACAACCCAATTTAATTAATCTACCCCCATTTAATTAATCCACAACCCCCCTTAATTAATCCACCCCCTTTAATTAATCCACCCCGTTAATTAATCCCCAACCCCTTTAATTAATCCCCCCCTTAATTAATCCACAACACCCCTTAATTAATCCACCCCTTAATTAATTCACTAATTAATCCACCTTAATAATCCACCCCTTAATTAATCCACCCCTTTAATTAATCCACCCCTTAATTAATCCTCAACTCCCTTTAATTAATCCACACCCCCTTTTTATTAATCTACCCCCCTTTAATTAACCCACCACCCTTAATTAATCCACCCCTTAATTAATCCACCACCCTTTAATTAATCCACACACCCTTTAATTAATCCACACACCCCCTTAATTAATCCACCCCCCTTTAATTAATACACCCCCTTTATTAATCCACCCCCTTAATTAATTTACCCCCCTAAATTAATCGACCCCCTTTAATTAATCCACCCCCTTAATTAATCCATCCCCCTTTAATTAATCCACCCCTTAATTAATCCACAACCCACCTTAATTAATCCACCCCTTAATTATTCCACCCCCTTTAATTAATCCAGCCCCTTAATTAATACACCCCCTTTAATTAATACACCCCCTTAATTAATCCACACCCTCCCTTAATTAATCCACCCCCTTTAATTAATCCATCCCCTTTAATTCATCCACCCCTTAATCAATCCACCCCTTAATTAATCCACAGCCCCTTAATTAATCTACCCCCATTTAATTAATCCACAACCCCCTTAATTAATCCACCCCCGTAATTAATCCACCCCCTTTAATTAATCCACCCCCTTAATTAATCCACCCCATTAGTTAATCCACCCCCCCTTTAAATAATCCACACCATTAATTATCCACCCCTTAATTAATCCACAACCCCTTAATGAATCCACCCCTTAATTAATCCACAACCCCCCTTAATTAATCCACCCCCTTAAGGAATCCACCCACCTTTAATTAAGCCACCCCCTAATTAATCCACCCCTTAATTACTCTACCCCCTTAATCCACAAACCCCCTTAATTAATCCACAAACCCCTTAATTAATCCACCCCTTAATTAATTCACCTTACTTAATCCACCCCCTTTAATTAATTCACCCCCTTAATTAATGCATCCCCCTTTAATTAATCCACCCCCTCAATTAATCCACAACCCACCCTAATTAACTTCCCCTCTTTAATTAATCCACCCGCTTAATTAAAACACCCCCCCTTAATTAATCGATCCCCTTTATTATTAATCCACTTTAATTAATCCACCCCTCTTAATTAATCCACCCCCCTTAATTAATCCACCCCCTTTAATTAATCCACCCCCTTAATTAATTCACAACCCCCTTTAATTAATCCATCCCCTTAATTAATTCACCCCCTTAATTAAACCAACCCCCTTTAATTAATCCACCCCCTTTAATTAAACCTCCCTCCCCTTTAATTCTTTAATTAATCCATTATCCACCCCTCCTTTAATTAATTCAGCCCCATCACATAAAATGACTACTCACATTTTGATGATGCCTTGCCTCCGAGACCGACCACCGGGTGCCTCATCGCCCGGATATTAGTTCCTTCCGCTGAAGATCCATGAAGGCGGACTGACAGCGCTGCGCCCGCAACACTCCTCCTCCTTCTCATCCTCCATGAAGTAAGTCCCGCCGGGCTGGCCACAGATGCTGCGGCTGTGCGCAATGTAATGATGGGGGGTGACACATGACACTGGAAGTCATGGCACCCTTCTGGTCAATGGCACCCGGGGCGGGCCACCCCCCCATAGTACGCCACTGGGGATATGTTATGTTTTGGGGTGTTTTCTGTACCTTGAGGAAAATGTGTGTTTTTCTACCTGTGGATAATTAGATTATTGTATTATATACCTTAATTGTTTCACAGGAAGAGGGGAGGGATGTATGTGGGAGTGTCGTTCATTGTTACACTGTTTTTATTGGCATGCATGTTTTGTGTCCTGTGCCCAACAAGGACCACCTGGGCGTCAACCTTGTTGGGAAAATTGCATAAAAGGCCAGTGTGTCCCGTTAAACTGAGATTCCTGCTTACACACCAAAACTGTGTGTCATCCAGTTATTGGAGGGAAAGAAGATTTGCTCCTGTGTCTGCTGTTCCAGCTTGCAGGAGATTCAACGGGGAAAGTTCTTGTAAGGACTAGAGCTAATTCCCTATTTGGGTCCTGAGTTCCCAGGACTGAGTGTCGTCCAGTGCCTGGAGGTGTCAGAGCTAATTTTCCCCTTCGGCTCCAGGAGGGAGGTGGCGGTTCCAGGGCCCTAGTCAAGCTACGGAGACTGAGGGAAAAAAGTGCTTTGGTTTGTCCCCTGGTTCGGCTAGCGTCATAGGAGGCGGTTCGGAGACCGGAACCCCTGAGTGCCTGATGATGATGGGAGTCGCAGCATGGAAACAGACCATCAGGGCCTGGTGCAGGGTAACTACACGCCCCCTGGTGTTGAGCACCAGCGTTTGTGCAGCCACATACCAAGGCCCTGATGCAGCTTCTGCGGATCCAAGAACTAGGAGCTTGAAGATATGCAGACCTCCCAGGAACTGGATAGGGAGGCTCTGCAGCAGATATATATCCAGTACAGAAACAAGGCAAGACTAGGACAGGCACCTAACAAAAAAACAAGACAAGACTACAAGAACCCAGAACTGGAACAGGACAGAAAGCAGAACCCAGAACATGTACACACGACATGAGGGAAACATGAACAGGGCAGGACAGGACTGTACATGAACTGGGAATACAAGACAAACTAAAACAAGACCAGAGTTACAAGGTAAAATAAGAGGAGACATAACTAAGTACTAATATGTGCAATAAACATTGGAGATTTAGACATACATAAATGGCCAAGAGGTATGCAGCCCACCACTGTGTCAAAGTACTCCAATTACAGTGGGTTCCTATACTGCCTAGATATGCATGACTAAATAAAAAATAATAAAACACACACAGCACTTACCTGCAAGAAAGGGGCAGAGGACGTGGAGCAACTGCCTGCAGGAACCAACTGAAACAAAAAGGATTAATGGGAAAGGAACGGGTGTGGCATTTAAAGGAATCCAGGAGACTGGGAATTCTCGGAATGGAATAAAGGAATGAACCAAGAAATCCCAGCATAAAGAAAACCAGATATGGAATAGAAAACCAGAAAAACTAAACAAGAATAGTAAAAAAGAGTACTGGATACCAGAAGCCATAGCCAGAAATGATCCGCAGCGGGAACAGGACGTGACAGCTAGGAAGCGGTCCTTTGGCGGAGGTACCCAGTCGGGGTGCCAGGTGATCCATTACAGTAATGAAACA